GGAGACGTAACCACAAAGGAGGGGAAGATACATGTCATGTGGAGATCGCCAAGGAATCAAGGAATGTCGCTCTACAGAAGCTGGAAAAGATCTTCCTCCAGAGCGGACAGAGGGAGAGAGCCTTCCCCTAGAGCTGGCTCCTGAATTTGGACTCTAGCCTCCTGAACTGTGAGAAAATAAATTTACTTTTTAAAACCACCCACTTGCAGTATTTCTGTTACAGTCGCACTAGATAACTAAGACACAAACTCCAAAGAAGCAACAAATCAACTATTCTCCATTTTAATTTTCCTGGTCAAGTATGTGCTTCTCAAAAGGCCCACTTCATCTTTCCACTAACAAAGCTATCCAACAAATATTTTTATAAATGGGATACCTCCAAGATGTACTGTGACCGTTCAGAAAATGTCAAATATGCCTTGACATGAAGATTACTCAGAAAGTATTAAGTTATACGCTTAGTTTTCTGAACTTTATAAACTTTTTTAAAAAGCAGCTGATTAATATCATTAATTTCATTAACGATTAGCAATCTCCAAAACACACTTCCATTACTCCAGTGTTTCTTTATTTGGTAATGCTCTGCTTGCTTGAATTTCATCTTAAAATAAAAACTAAGAAAACCTGAATTAGAATTAACAAACACATTTTGAAGGTTAATTTTCACTGCAGAAATAAAAGATCAAGTCTTTTTTGACATAATGACTAAGTAAATGGTCAGTGAGCATATGAAGCAATGTTTATCAGCAATCAGATTCATTCACTACTTTGATAATTGTTTTCCTTTACATTATTAACAGAGAGAGCTTTCCCAACAAAATGTAAACTTTATTTTGATATAACTTCAAGAATGATGTTGGAAACCTTTTCTAAAATGAAAAGTAAAGCTTTACCTTTTTATCAAAAGGAGAAAATAACTTTTTAGAGTACTGAAAATCTGAAGCAGAAAATAAAAAATAGATTCTTCTTACACAATTTCATTACATTTCACACTTTAATGGCGAAAATATCTTCATATAAAACTATTTCTGCTATATTTATACACCAACAGATCATATTTTCATTCCAATTATTTTTTTACAAGGAGTGCAATTATCTTTTAAATAGTTACAAAAAACTGTAAAACTCTTACGTACGTATAGAAAGGATGAAACCCTTCATACACATCAAAATGTGAAGTACACTTGCAAATCTACATTCAATCACTTTAATATTAACATACATATAAAGGGACTGCCTTCACCGATGTCTTCACTTTGGGTTTACAGGATGAGTCTTCTGATGATCTGTAAACAACATGTTTATGTGACAGTCAGAAATTCAGCTACAATTCAGCCTAAGCAGTAATAAACGAGTGCAGAACAGAAACCAAGGAAAGAAAAAAAGAGGGAAAAAAGCCCCAAAGTCTCTATGCAGCAAGAAACAACATCTCTTCCCAATTTAGTTTCAAGATGGGTACCATCTCCTATTCGTCCTCGTGTTTCCAAAGTCCTGAAGATAACAAAATAAAAATTAATATTAATAACTTAATTTTCTGTTGCCTTTATGCAAATAATAAGAAAAAAACAAGTTTACAAGTCACAGATGATCAAGGTAAGATGACAGTTCAATGTGACAAAATACATAAAGTTTAAAGTTAATTAAATTCCTTTTTCTTAATGCTCATTAGCTCACAACAGAAGAAAAGAAATTCATACAGACATAAAAAGCTTGGTGGGCTATGAAGATTAGTCTAAACTAAAATTCTTACCCTCTTACGGTTCCCATTTCCTTTGTATAATCTCTATCAGATTTCCAATTCTTAATCTCAGCATTATTAACTAAATATTATAAAAATATTTTTAAAATGTGTATTTAGTACACACTTCAAAATGTAAATAATATACAAAGTAAATAATAAAGCGTAAGTTTCCATAGCTTTGGGAAACAGTCTGGCAGTTCCTCAAAAAGTTAAACACAGAGTTCCCACATAATCTTGCAATTCCACTCTTAGGTAGTATAGTTAAACCTGCAAAAGCTGGAACCTGTATCAGGCGGAAACCTGTCCGAGAAGGAACGCTCCAATATTTTCCACGAAACGACCGACAGAAAAGTGGTAAGACCGCACTCTGTCACGGGGAAAAACTTGGGAGACCCAGAAAAACAAGGTGGTCCCATCAAGTCCTGCCTCTCACACGTTTCGCCCTACAGACCCCAGAGAACTGAAAACATGTTCACACAAAACCTTGTACGTGCCTGTTCACAGCAGCATTATTCATTACAGCCAAAAAGGGAGAACCACCCAAATGTCCATCACAGAGGATGGATAAACAAAATGTGGCCTATGCACACCGTGGAATACTACTCGGCCATAAGGAGGAATGAAGCGCTGATACACGCCACGGATGAACCCTGAAAACATCACGCTAAATGAAAGAAGCCAGACGCAAAAGGCCACGAGCTGTGTGATTCCATGTTATGAAATGTCCGGAACAGGAAAATCCATAGAGACAAGAGTAGTCTAGGGGGTGCTAGGGGTTGGGGAAGAGGAGACACTGGGGGTCGGGAGAATGGTGAGTGCTGACGTGTACAGGGTTTCTTTCTGGAATGACGGAAATGTTCCGGATTTGACAGTGGTAATGGTTGCACAGCCTTATAAATATACTAACAGCCACTGAATTCTTCGCTTTTAAAAGATAAATATTATGGTGCGTGAATTATATCTCAATTTAAGTTTTCTCCTACCCTGGACCCCTAGTCCTATTCCTCGGAGAGAAGCAGTGTCAAAAATTGCTTCATATCCTTCCAGGAATGATCCCTCTCTTTTTAAACACAAAAGGCAACACTTTATCTTCTCTGCTGATCTCAGATGGTTTAGTACCAGCACGTACAGGTATCCTCCATTCTGTTTAAAGATGCATCCCACGGTACGGATGAAGCAGCGCAGTAGGTACCGGTCCTGTACTGAGCTGCGTCTGGGTTGGTTCCAGTCTCTAGCTACTCCCAACAAGCGGCAATGCACATCTTTGTAAACACATCTTTACACACGAGTATATCTGTGAGATAAATTCTCAGAAGTGAAATTGCTAAGTTAAAGAACGTATTTTTAGTTTGTCAAACTGCCTGCCAAAGAGTTGCACAAATTTACACCTTCCCCAGTGGTAAGTGAAATATGCTGCCAATGTTTTGAACTACTAGTTTTTGATCCTTGCCAATCTGATCGATGAAAAGTAGTTATCTTGTGTTTCTATAATTTTAAGCGTGAATTAGCATCTTTGTGTTTATAAGTATTTTTCTGTGAACTACCTATTCATGTCCTTTGCCTGTTTTCCTACTGTTAGTCTTTAAAAAATATTTTAAAAGAGCAAAGTAAACTAATTTCTATAAACTAATTTCTAATTTTTATACCACATATATTTGTATTAAATAACTTCCAGGAAATTTGTCTGTATCCATGTTCTCGTCTACTTAATCCGTGACCTTTTAGTGCACAATAATGAAATATTCATTTGAAATAATTCTGGCAATTTATTAATGTTCATATGTGCAATTAATAAAAATCAGTTAATTAGTAATTGCTTTATGTGTGGGGTGATGGGAAAGGAGAAAGATGTTTTAGAAAAGGGGAACAAAACTTAAAGCAATGTCTGAGGGACACAGTATCTTTGGACAGTACAACTTGTGGCAGTCAAGAAGCAAAAAAGGCAAAATCTGGCCTTATACTTGCCCATAGCTCTACAGGCTCCACCTGAAAAATCTGGTTGGTCTTTTCACTATAAAACGTGTAAGACATGGATAGGTACAAGTCTGTGTATGCTTATGGGAGAGGTGGAAAAAAACTGACAGTGGTTAATGTTGTGGGTTGAACTGCATCCCCCAAAAAGACATGTCCAAGTCCTAAGCCCTGGTACCTATGAAGCTGACCTTATTTGGAAACAGGGCCTTTGCAGACATAATCAAGTTAAATTGAGGTCACACTGGGCTAGAGTGGACCTAATCTGATGACTGGTGTCCTTGTAAGAAGAGTGAAATTTGGACAGAGACACAGACACAGAGGGGGCAGGTTGGAGTGAAGCTGGGAGGGAGGCGTGGAAAAGAGGCTCCCTCAGAACCACAGAAAGGACCAACCCTGCTGAACTTGGACATCAAACCTTTAGCCTCCAGGGCTGTGAGACAGTAAGTCTCTGTTGTTTTAAGCCACATCTGGTTTGTGATGATTTGTTAGGAAACAAACGCACTCAGTAACATAATACTCTGGGCAGTTTTTGATATGTTTGCAGGATTTCCCAAAAATCATTTGTTTTAAGTGGTCTGCACTATAAATGCCTACCCTGGGCTTCGATTCAGGAGTCCTATCCTGCTGCCTGTTTGGAGCCCGCTGCAGGGAGCACGAGGCTGTCCAGCTGTTGGCGATGCCCCGTGTTAATCAGCCATTCATAAAACTTGTTCTCCACGAGCACCTGGAACTGCTTCCTTTGATCCCTAAAATTGCAATCAAGAACAAAAAGAATGTAAGAACATTAATTCACATAAATTTTACTCCAAGGGGTTACAGAACATTTTATTGGGATAACTTTAAATGATTAATTATTCCTAGTAGTTCATTTCTTCTTTCTAAATACCTCCTCTGTTTAGAGGACACTTGACCACCACCATGATCACCATCCAAAAAAAAAAAAGCGTGGGTCAGATTTGTAAAGAGGTACCATCAGTCATTATATCTTGTTCTGCTGTGGTTATTCACTCAACAGGTATTTACTGACGACTCGCTGACTGCTATAAAGTGTTCTGACTGACGGGATAGATGTGGGGGAAAAAGTGAAGAGACGAAGCCTCCATCCAGGCAGGTTTGCACTGCACAACTCCACAAAGCACCATTCACGTTATGATCTATGCAGTCTATGCCCCATGTGAACCTTATATTCTAGTAGGGAAGACCAATAATAAACAAAATATATAAATAGCTGTAAGTGCCTTGGGAAAAAGATAAAGCAGGGTAAACAAATGGAGAGTACTGGGAATGTTATTTTAGAAAACGAATGGACAGAGAAGGCTTCTCTAGGATGACACCTGAATGAAGCACTGGATTAAGCAAATGAGTATCTGGGGAAGAACATTCCAGGCAGGGAAAGCAAAAGTGCAAAGGCTCTAAAGCAAGGGCATATTTAGCACGTTCAAGATAACATGAACTAGCTGGGAGCTAGCGTAGCACTATGCGCTAGGCCTCGGTGTAGCTAGGAACCGGCCTGGTCACGTTCTCCGGTTGAACATCAACAATTCCACAGAGCACCAACATCTGACAAGACCACTCTGTGATGATGGTAGATCAAGGCAAGGATGAGACCACTGCATGATCATGTCTCAGCCCAGACAAAAAACATTTCGTGGTCCAAACCACAAAATGACTCAACATACTCTTTCCTGGCTAATATGAGTGACTGCTGCTTCTTTAATTAAGTTTTAGCCCCATTTCACTCCTTCTGCCTTCAAGATAAAAATTATTAAGACATAAAATTAGAGAACTACCTTCACTTCCAGACAGCATCCAATTCACAGCAAAGCCCTGTTTCTCAGATTCCTTCCTAAAATCAGCTAACGCAAGCCAAAATCCAATAGGTTCCTTTTAAAACCCTTTTACAGAGCTGAAACACGGTTCCACAGGTTCCCCAACCTTCTGCTGAGATGAAACACAGTTCTCTCCCTCCTTGCCATAAAATCAACAAAACCCAAGTCTGTTCTGCAGATGTGTTCCTGGTGGCCTTTGGCTGAAGGGCAATGACAAAGGAATAGCAAGAAGGCTGTGTGGAGTGGGGTGAATGAGGAAAGTATGGCAGGACATGGATGGTAAAGGCTTTGAAGTATGACGGGAAGCCGCTAGAAGGGTCAGAGCAGGGAAGTGACACGATCTCATCATTTTCAGAGGGTCACTATGGTGGTTTGTGTTTTCAAACTGATTGACAACTCTTCTGTCTTCCTCTATTCCTCGAGTTAAACTGAGTGCTTTCCTTGTTTCTGGTGTCATCGTGGGGCTTGCTGTCTGGAGACACTATGACTCAGAGCCAACATTCACCGAGGGGTCACCATTCCAGACTCTGCAATGTGTCTAAGTTTCTCACTTGTGCCAGGGAATGTAGGCATCTAAGTGTTACAAACATTCAAACAATAGAATTGTCTTAAAAAGATTTGTTTTAGTGATGGTCCATTTTTAAATCACATCATTGTAATGTGAAGAACTATTAACAATAGCTCTGAGAGGGCAATAAACACTAGAGGCTTGCAAGAAGCCAAGCTCTGGAACCAAGCTGACTAGGTGTAACTCCTGGCTCCTGTGTGACTCTGGGCAAGTGAATCTCTCAGTTTCTCATCTGTTGTAGAGTAGTGTTATGAACAATATATGAGTTGATACATAGAAACTTGGCACACAGTAAATGCTTAATACACATTACCTGTTATTACTGTTACCGTCATTACTACATGATACGGTAGACTGAGAATGACTGGTCTGTACTATTAATGTCTTGGTGGCTCAATTCATGAGATATACCAAAAAACAAACAAACCCACTGCCGTCGAGTCGATTCCAGCTCACAGTGACCCTACAGGACAAAGCAGAACTGTCCCATAGGGTTTCCAAGGAGCAGCTGGTAGATTCGAACTGCACCTTTTGATTAGCAGCCAAGCTCTTAACCACTACGCCACTAGGGCTCCTCATGAGATACATTCTAGGTCAAATATTTGTACCAGAAAATAGCAGTATTATGATAATGGACTTCCAGGAAAAGTATGTTTTGGCAGGTAACAACTGTTTTCTCTAAGAGACTGAAAGTAACTGTATTACTACATATATTTCATTTCTTAATCCATATGATGAAAACAAAGCCATGAGAATGCATCCAGAGAATACCATGGCTGCATCAAGACTTTTTCACTTATCATATAATGTCAGAATGAAGTGAATTCTAACAAGTCAGGTCTCAGATACTCTGAGTAAACAATCTCACCCAGAAGATGTGTCTCACACACATAACACAGCACAGCACACAGCACACATCACTAAACAGTGTCTCACACACACACTGCTACTATATGTTATCCGATTAAATCTTCACGTCAGTCTAATGGGGTGGAAAACATACTTTATGTGATAAAATTAAGAGGCAGAGAGGTTAAACAACATGCTCAGTGTCACACAGGAAGCGGCATGGTCAGTATTCATTCCTGAGTCTGAATCTGAGCACTTCCCACTATGATACAGGCACAGCTATCCAAAGAATAATACTAAACTTAATAAAATCTAACAAAACTTAGAGACCTAATTAAAATAAGCATTTTTATTCATATATCAAACAGTAGTTCTGGATCACCAGAAACAGAAACATTCTGGAGTGGCTGCTCCTTTCCAAGATAATGACAACTAAC